AAATAGTTCAACTGGAATGTCATCACCTCCACTGGCCTTATTGTTAGCCAGGCTTTCTAAGGCCCACTTGACTTCACTCTCCAGGGATGTCTGACTCAAGGTCAGCAACTACATTGTCTGGGTTGTCCGGGATGTCCAACTCTCTCTGATATAATTCCTCTGTGTATTCTTTCACCTCTTCTTGATGTCTTCTGCTTCTGTTAGGTCCCCTTCATCCGATTCCATTTTATTTTAAAAGACATTTTTTAAAAGATGCAATCTCTGCTCTTAACATAAGACTAAGCCATGCTGAAGTAAACAAAACACTGCTAAGTAAAGTTGCACAGGATTAGATTGTGGCTTTTTCCCCTCTGTGCTTGAACTGTGTTTTGTCAAAGTAGACTATGTTGGATCAAAATATTTAAACTTCATGCGCAGATGGATTTTCGCAGGACTGCCAAATCTAAGTCACAGGGTGGGAATTTCCTGGGTAGGTCCAACATAGGCTTCATTTCCCATTCTGCCAGCATGTAGAGGGGCATGTGAGCATGCTTTCTCTCTTAATGGATTTTTTTCATAATCCCAAATCCTGATTTTTTTTTCCTGTATACCTGAACATCCTGGATTTTGGAAATCTGTTCAACTCATTCAGGAAGCCGCAGAAATCGCACTCTGTAAAGTTCTATGTCACACAAAACGCATGTAGTAGAAGACTACACAGATGACACAATCAAAATTACTAATGCCCAGAGTTCTGATCGTTGAGGAAACTTTCCGCCCCCCATAAATCTTTTACTTTACGCTAGGCTCGTGTCTTAACCTGCCAAAGCATTTTAATTTTAAAGAGTGAGCATCTGTGTTTCTGTGCGAGTCACTGCCCTGATCAGGGCCGACCCAAGACTTTTTGCTTCCTGAGGGAATAAAGATGGGGCACAACATCCAAAAGGAGCTGCAGTTATGTCCTGCTTGATAACTGTCAACGTTAGCATCTTCTAGGACACCTGAGAGCAGCAGGATGCTTCAAGGGACGGATGCAGGAGAGGTTGAGTATTAAACAGAGCTCTGTCTTCAAAACAGGAGGAATGGCCAGTGGGCTTAGAAATGGCTAAGCGACGCCATTGCACTCTTTGCCTCACATACATCTGCTAACTGAGGTAGTTGCCTCACTATGGCTACTGGTAGGGTCAGTACTTTACTTTCTTGGGCTCCTTGATCACTGCAGACGGTGACAACAGCCACGAAATTAAAAGACGCCTGCTTCTTGGGAGGAAAGCAGTGACAAACCTAGACAGCATCTTAAAAAGCAGAGGCATCACCTTGCCAACAAAGGTCCGCATAGTCAAAGCTATGGTTTTTCCAGTATTAAAGTAAGATTGAGCAGCCCATCCGGGTCAGCTTAAGTACATGGAGCAGAGAAAGTGGGAGCATTGACAGGCAACCTCTTCTTTACAGGAGCCATTTTCCTCTGCATTTCTCCATCACCCCTGAACCACTGCTGAATGATGCAGTCGCACTTGGTGCATACACCAAAGAAAATTAATTGGAGACAGACAGAGGCTGTCTGGAGAGAAGCTGCGCCAGAGCAATACATTAGGTTGGCACACATTGGGAAGCTTTCCCTCTGTAAATGGGGAAAAGGGGCCGACAGGAGCCTTTTAACTGTTTAATTAAATTTTTGCCTCATGGCACACAGTTTGGGAATGACTGGCTTCGATTCGACAGACTCAGCAATGTTCCTTCCAAATCCCAAGCACCAAAATGCTTAGTTCGGCTTTCCCTCCTTCCCTGTCTTGCCTAAACACATCCTGGTTTCCCCCCCTGGCAACAGGCAATATCCCAAGACTTAAAGACGTCTGGCGAGACGAGAGAACGGGTGCTTCAGAGCTCCTTCTCCTTGCCGAGCAGTTATATCTCAGTTAGTTAGAATTAGACAGTGTAATCTGAGGCCCCTTCAAGCGGGGTCGAGGATAGTGCTGTCCTCTAAATGTTGCTGGAGAAGGATGATTGGTTGGGAGTGGCAGTTCAATCACGCCCGGAGGGCTACACATTTTCCTATCGTTGCCTTAAAATATGAACCAATCAGCATTTTTTTTTCCAGTTAAGTACCTTCCCCCACAAATAATTTCTGAAATGTAGTTCAGCCGATGTCTACATTTACTATGCAATTACATAATAATTATTGTTATGTAATTACATTTACTATGTAATTACTTTTACATAGTAATGTACAAATTACTATGTCTGGAGGAATTACTTCAAGAAATTACATTTTTTGAAGTAATTCCTCCAGACATAGTAATTTGGACAGAGACCAGAATAAGTGTTCTTACATGTTCCCTCTCCTTGTTTTAAACAAGGATCAGCTGGCGACAGTAGCTACTTCCATGATCCTTTTATCTACATTTCATTTTTCTCAAATCTGTACAAAATTTTAATGTCTCTTTTCATGACTTCTCTGTACATAGAGGTATGATGTGATGGCAACATTTTCAACTGTTCATCTCAGTAACAATTCAGACAATCCCTACTTTAAGAGCCATGACTAAGTTATTTCAATTCTAAAAGTTCAGGTTGGTGAGATGCCCCTTACTATTGGGTCAACATTTTTGTTTAGTGAAAGCTTCCTTATAGCTAATTTTCCCCAAATTTAAATTGTTTGCTTACAGACCACGCAATGGGTTTTCGGATGTGTAAATATAAAGTTGTGCCATGTTTCAGTGAATTTTTCTCTTCTATTCCATTTCATCACCCTTATTTTCTGTGTTAATTTCTCCAGCATTGCTATTTGCCAAACCTTACCTAGCCACATTTTAATGTTTGCATTCTTACAATGTTTCCTGTGTGTTGCTATCATGTAAAATAACGAGAGACATTATGAAAGAATTTGCCATCTTTCATGCTGAGGGAATCTCACTTTGTTGTTAAATAGATGTTGTTTCGCTAATGTCTAAACGTTTGCTCATTTTTGAGGCAAAATCTCAACTGAATAGCAACTGGGACAGAAGAATGAACAAATTCCACACCCTATATACTCATAGCAAAATAATTCTCTAAGTGCATATTCTTATCTTTACGTAGCCAAAACAGCGCCATATACGGAAGCAGGGAGGAAGCCAGAAAAACAAAAACAGGAGGAAGGCTAAGAAGCAATATTTCATCTCAAAAGCCAAGTCTAAAGAGGCATAGGAGGAAGAAGGAACAGTGGGTAGGTGGGGAATATATTATCCTGAAAATGAAAATTGGATGTAATTGTTCCATCTTTTGTTCTCTAAAGCTTTTTGTGTAACTATTGGTCACGTTTAGCAATGTCATGAAATGTTTGCCAACATTCTATTTGATTAGGATTTTTTTAAAATGTTGTCAAACAGACTTTTTTCTCTGTAAGAAATGAAAGGTCCTTGGGAAGGACAACTCCTATAGGGTCTAAATCTTCACCTAGTACCTCAGCTTATGGAATCCAAGGATCTGAGGAGGTGCGGTCACGCTCCGACAGAATTTGGCACACACTGGAGTGAGGAAGTCCAAAAACCCCTTCCACTCTACCATACACCCCTGGCCTTTGGTGGAAAGGGAGGGGGCTCCACGTTGTTGGGAAAAAACAGTAGTAGAAAACAAGATATGTGAAGTTGGGCGAGAATAAGATTTAAATAAGGTGGCTAAAGTAAATGTTCAGCTGCAGGAAGCAATGCAGGAAAGAGCTGAGGGCACAGAGCTAAAAAAGGAGAGGTTAAAGAATAGGGATTTTGGAAAAACCTGGAGCAGAGCCTAGGTATTCATAATGGGGGAGAGGTTAAAGAGTTTGGAAAATTTACTGGGAGGGGCAGGCTGAGTCCATTTGATAGTCCCACCAAGTCAGCAGGATTTATGTAAGTGCTGACTTACCATCCATGAACTGATTTAATAGGCCTAATTGAGGAGCTAGCCATGAATACAGGACCACAAAAGTACAGTGGTGCCTCGCTGCAAAGTGATTTCGTCGCTATGCTCAAAAAAACCCATTGGAACGCATTAAACATCGTTTAATGCGCTCTTCGCTATGCGATATTAAAAAGCGCATAGGAATGCATTGAAACCCCTTCAATGTGTTCCTATGGGCTTCAGACCTTTCAAGTGACAATCCTCCATACAGCGGCCATTTTTGCTGCCTGGTAAGCGAGGAATCCATCCCAGAAAACAGCAGGCAGACATTTTTTTACCCGGCGGCCATTTTGGAACTACCGATCAGCTGTTAAAAAATCATTGCTTTGCGATGAGCGGTAAGTGAAACAGGGTACCGATCATTGCAAAGCGATTTTTCCCCATAGGGAACATTGCAAAGCAATCACAAAAGCAATTGCAAAAAGTTAATCGCTATGTGATTTTGTCGTTAAACGGGGCGCCCATTAAGCGAGGCACCACTGTAACTCTGTACATTACCTTTTTGTTTTATTTTACTGTTTTATTTTCGGTCATCAATACGTAAGCTACTGCCCATGCTACTATGCTGATTTTAATAAGTCTAGTCATTGGCTTTTGAGGTAATAAAACAGTTCTCTAAAAAGCAAGAACGGATGCATCTGAGATATAGCCATGTATTGATTTTATAAAAGTTTTTAACAGCAACAGGAACTGAAATACACTCTAAATTGTATAAAATCTATAAAACATAGAAGACTGACAATCTATAATGATGCCTGTAAAATGTAAATTCATTTAGATCGGTGGCTGGCCAAAATTTAGACTCGGTCAGATTCCTGGAATTTCTTCAGCAAAGGTTCATCCGCTCGCAGGGCAAAGGTCAAAGTGCGCTTCTGATAGTACTGAGAGTTGAGCTCCAGGTTCTCTATCACATCGGAGAGGAGGTGGGCTCGCTCCACAGAACAGCCGGGCGCATCGTAGCTCAGGGCAGTGAAATGCACATGGAGATGGTAGTAGGACGGCTGGTAATGGAGGTAGATCCTCAACTGGGGTCCAGCGATGCCAAAACGCTTCACTATCGCTTCCTAGTTTGGGAGAAAAATGAGTAGTATGACAAAGATTCAAACTAGCAACGACAATTTGACAACTGTAGCATGGGTCAAGCAAAAAAGCGGGAGATCTTTATTCGTATTTCATATCCCTGCCTGAATGTTCTCCAAAACCCTGTAAGGCTTGACTTCGTATTTCATAGGTAATTTTTGTCCAGTCGTGTTCGAATCTAGGGGGTGGTGCTCATCCCCGTTTCCAAGCCATAGAGCCAGCGTTTGTTCGAAGACAATCTTTCCGTGGTCACATGGCCAGTGCGACTTAGACACGGAACGCTGTTACCTTCCCACCGAAGTGGTCCCTATTTATCTACTCGCATTTGCATGCTTTCGAACCGCTAGGTTGGCGGGAGCTAGGACAAGCGATGGGCGCTCACTCCATCGTGTGAATTCGAACTTACAGCTGCAGATCTACAAATCTTACAGCACAGAGGCTTCTGCGGTTTAACCTGCAGTGCCACCACGTCCTATTCGTATTTCATATCCCTGCCCAAATGTTCTCCAAAACCCTGTAAGGCTTGACTTGCTACCCATCAAAAGCATAATGCAACCACAAAGTCATTTAAAGGAGCACAAATACACATGGATTTGGCACAAAAATGGCCTTGGAATCCAAAAGCTTTAAGCCAGCATAAGCCTTCCTGAGATTGTTCCTTTTATGTTCCCATTATCCTTCAGCATTGCCTTTGCTATTATAGGCGGATGGGAGCTATAATAACATCTGGAAGGCCACAAGTTGCCCCCCCCTCCACTTTAGGATTACAGAAGATATGGACTAATAAAAAAATGTCTGCCTTGTGCTTAAGGGCATCTAATTCACCCTTTGGCAGGGGGAGATTAATTCAAGGAGGGGCAGAAGATCTTCTCTGTGATGGCGTCCTGCTTATGATGCAGTGCAGGAATCTTGAAATTACAGCATGAAATCTTGAAATGGCTGCCTAATATCCACTATGTCGATATCACACGGGAGTAAGTGGTGTAGGGATGAAAGGTAACACTCTGAAATGGACTGACAGTCAGTACAATCATGGTCTTCTAATAATGTCATCTCCTGTGGCGTGAAATCCTGCCTCTCACTATGGCTCTTTTTCAGACCCTATAAATGACTAAATGTGATCCATCATGCTCACATTTCGGGGAGGGGGGGCTACTGTCTCTGAATTGTTACTCTGAGTTATCTATCTCTTGACCCACAAATCAGACACATGCTCTTCCTGAAAGTCTCAAGTCATTCCAAACTGCTTTTTCTCTGTGAAATTGGGAGCTCTACCCACTAGCATTCTGCCTCTCACCATTAATAATAAATTGAGAACTGAATCAAGTGCTCCTGACTGTCTCTGACATGTTGCCTTACCTTCAACCTCAGAGAAAGCTCCAGTCTACGTAAAGACACCAGAAGATAAAACATGTTTTCTGTGGGGTATTATTTTGAGGACATTCGTTGACTAGCTTGTTGAAGCTAGCAGGCTGTGAAGCCATAGAAAGGAGGTCGGTTCTCCATTGCGCTCCTGGAAAAGAGCCAGCCTGTGTAAGCCTTGGGCAACTCATACGCTCCCAAAGTGCCATTCAAAAGACAGGAATGGTAATCCACACCAGAAGATAAAACATGTTTTCTGTGGGGTATTATTTTGAGGACATTCGTTGACTAGCTTGTTGAAGCTAGCAGGCTGTGAAGCCATAGAAAGGAGGTCGGTTCTCCATTGCGCTCCTGGAAAAGAGCCAGCCTGTGTAAGCCTTGGGCAACTCATACGCTCCCAAAGTGCCATTCAAAAGACAGGAATGGTAATCCACCTCTGAGTTTGGGCAAGCCATATGCTCCCAAACTGCCATTCAAAAGACAGGAATGGTAATCCACCTCTGAGTACTCTATATCCAGAAAACCCTAGAAAGGGTTGCCATAACTTGGAATGGACCTGACAGTGCACAAATCTTATGGTTTTGTTATTATTTAAGAGAGTTGCATGCCCTTGTCTGTGGAGTGGTAATATTAAAGGCTCCTTTAGAGCCACAATACTAGCGAGGAAGCCAAAGCCGGAATGCCTCCCTCTCAAAAAACACAAACTGAATGGTGTCTCCTTTTTGGAAGAGAGTCTTCGTTTTCAAAAGACGTTCTATTCTAGATGGGAGTAATCACAGAAAGGGAGCAAGAACAAAGGGCTTTAAAGCTGGTCATCAATAGACAGCACCTAGACAATAAACTGAGCAGCAAGCAACCTGTAAAACAGGTTACTCTCAACCCCACAGGTAGGCTGTATGCCTACTTCAAGTGCTATTTTTAAATCTGCATCTATGATAGGACGTTTAAACAAATATGTATCCTCTTTATTTTTTTGTGATGATAGGCACATGGTTACTCCTAACAGAGCCACCCTCATCTAAGGTGGACAATTTTCAAAGGACAGGGGCCTCTTTTCTTTTCCTCTGGGTCTTGGGGGGGCTGCAGATGCTCTCCAAACATCTTCCCCCCCCAACCCTTTCAAATGCAAACTGCATCTCCCAGAGGCCACTTGGGGACACCAATTGTATGATATAGCCAATATCTGCCTCTGAAATGCAGGGGCCGGATGTAGGCCTGAAAAGACTTTCTATTTTTATTTTGTATGTGTGGTTGTGGTTTTGCCAACTTTTTGTATTAAAGAGAACAAATAAAAACCTATTTAAAATGCAAGAAGCCCTGATTTGTTGATGGAGAAAGACCTATGCAGAGGAATCGAACATGTCAGATTAAAGGTGAATCTAGAAGTGTTTTCTCTGATTTATTAATTTCTAAGGGGCATTTTCAAACATTTGCTTTCTTTTCCTCTCCCATACACACACATACACACCTCACTGCAGCATGAAGTAGAATAGCCTGTCAGAGACACACAACGCAGGTCCTATGTGTGTGTCTGTTTCAGGTCTTATTTCTCTTCAGTAACTGCCGTAGTAAGGCCCACTGTGCTGAGGCTGTGGTGGGTGGAAAGAAAATACAGTTGTTGGCATGCTTCCTCTCAAAAGGGATCTCTTCTGGATTATATAGCTTTCCATTCCGACTTCATCGCTCTGCAGGATTTAGCAAGTTACAAGCTTCCATTACCAGACAGTGTAATCAAAGCTATAAACAGCAGCACGGAATGTGTCGAGAGTCCTTCCAAAACGCCAGTCTCTTAGTTTGCTCAAGGACTGCAGGAAACTTTGGTCCAATCTGTAAGTTAATCTCTGCTTTCTAATGGTGCAAGGTTATTGTGGTTCCCCCCCCCCAGGAAGACTCCACAGTGGGGGTGGAGCCCATCTGCCTTGCACATCACCTCCATGATGGCACTTTATATGGTCATAACACCCATTTCGAAAGAGGGATCAACTGATATCATACATGCAATGCCCTCCTGCTCACAGGAGAGGGCACTGGTCATTCTGTGCATCTTGTCCACTACTCCAGGGTCACAGCCAAAGGTTGACAGAAGGCTATGAATTCTTTCCCTGGGTCGAATGCCTGGAGGAGTATAATTGGCACCAACCACTGGGGTGAAGAATACTTGAACATAGTAGGAGGAAAAGGGCAGGAACATTTCCACATAAGAAGCTTCCCACCCAGCTGGGGGTATAAAAGAAGATGCTACTACAGGGGAAAGAGCTGGTTGGATGGCTCAGTGGTTTAGGTATCTGGCTGAGAGTTCGATTCCCCACTGTGCCTCCTGAGAGTAGAGCCAGGCTTTGTGGCCTTGGGCAAGCTGCACAGTCCCAGGGCAACCAACAGAAGAAGGAAATGGTAAATCACTTCTATGTATTCTCTACCTGGGAAACACTGAAAAGGGATGCTATAAGTCAAAACTGACTTGATGCCACATGATTATTACCAGAGGGGAGGGGAAGCCTGCAAGGAAGATGAAGAAAGAACCAGACAGAGGGAGAAGAGGAAGGATTGTGGTCGAGACAGAGAATTCAACAGAGGCAGATGACTGTGGAGCAGAGGAATGAAATGACAACCCTGAGTGGGCAAGTGGAACCAACAATCCCCTGGTCTACATCTACTTTCCCAGACTCTCTTAATTGATGAGTCTTTCTGACTAAGCCCAGTACTTCTCTAGGCAGCAAGATTTGAGCACTTTGTGTCATAACTGAAGGATGAGAAGCCAAATCCAAAGGTCACACTGACCCCCACCAAAATGAGTGGTGAAGACATCAGATACAGTTTAAACGCCTGTGCTCGATGGCTGAGGGTTCGAAAGAAGGAAAGATGAAACCACTAGCTATTCCCTTTTCTGTTTGTGCTTCAGGATTAGTGGCACCGGAGTGAAGAGGGGCCACCTGGGTGGGACTAAAGAACAGGACTATAGGCTGGAGAAGGCTTGAGAGAAGCACCTATGTAAACCGTTCTACAAGAAAGGTTATGCTGGTTGTAAATGCTGTTGGACCTTCCTTACGATGACCAACACAGAAGATGGTCTACTCAACACCCATTTACTCATGGACAGAATAAACCCTCTCACATCTCTGAGGAAAAAAAGTTTGTGGTGCCACAGTGTGACCATCCAATACTGTAAGTGATAGAAGTATGCAGAATTGTTCTTTTTCAATGCTGAGAGTTGTCCAAAAACGCCAATCTACACCCCTCTAGTAAGTGGTAAAAATGGACGTGCGAACGCTCATCGTGGCAGCCCTCACAGCCACCCACCCCAAGGCCTGGCGCTCACTGTACTCAAAGAGCCCACTGTGCCATGGTGAGCATAATGTCAAACCATATTGATCTGCCTTGCAGCATAAGACACACAAACACAAACACACCCGAAGCATTTGCACTTTAGTCCCTCCGGAGCCCTCTTCGATACACCCTTGCAAAACAGCAGGGAGAAATGAGCAACACATTTCAAAAAACGAATTCTCCGTGACCAGTTCCTTGGGCTCTGAGAAAACTGGGCAAAGCATGTATTTGGCTCCAACTGCAGATCACAATTCCAGCTTAACTCTTCAAGAAGCCGCTCGAGCCAAGAGGAAATGACAGCATGTTTTCTAAGAAGTGCGAGTTTGCTCCGCAGAGATGTATAATACTTCAGACGGCACGGACCTGATCATATTTCTGCAGTTATTCTGCAAAAGTGAGAGACAACTTGAAAGTTACGGCACAGAAGGAATGCGAAGCCAAAAAGGGAATTTGCACATCAGGGTTTCTTGCTTTTCTGTTTTAAAGCTGCATGTTGAGAAACGTGTAGCAGATGATCGGTTTGTGCACATGGGAAACCTTAGGAGTGATCTTCTAAAACAGAAGGAAGGTATTATTGCTCAAGCTGGCAATAAGTTTATGTGGAATCAGCGGTACCAATTTTAACTGAAAATGAATTAAGATGGGTTTTAATGTCTCCAAGACAAAAGAAAGATGAAGCGACGAGAGAGTTTTGTATCCCTGCTGGCTAACCAGCTATATTATGAAAGAAAATCTCCCTTGTCTGGGAGAGGTGTCACAAAGCAGGGGGTCACCTCATCCCAAAATAGTGGTGTCTGCCCCATCTTTGGGACCGTGAGCCACTGGTATTTGTACATAAAGAACTCTCTCTGTTAAAGGAATCTCTTAGTTCAATACTCCAGGTAACCATCAGAAACATTTAGCCCTGTACAGAAGAAACAGCTCTTAGATTATTTCTATTCTGAGTGTAATCAGGTCAAACCCAACTATAACAAGCTCACCTGCCTTATACAGAGTCAGGCCTTGGGTCATCTAGCTCAGCATTGCTGACAGAGAGGAAAGCAGACAGGGCTTTATTACTCTTTATGCTTGCAAAGTGTTTCAGGGGCCACTGAAAAACACATGATGTACACCTATGTGAACACACTGCAGCTAAATCCTGCTATTCCCATGTAATCTCAGTACACTCATACATCACCGGTACATGCCTGCTCTTATTCCTTCTCCTTGTATTAACTCTGTGTGCCATCACGATGGTATGTTGATAAAACAAAAGAGCGGGACCAACTTGAGACTTTAATGCTGGTTCTAGCCTCAAGTTATGTCGGATTTAGTGGGTGCAGCCTGAAATGTTCAAGTCGATTCCACCTGAGTTCCCATCGAGGCAGCAGTTGCTGAGCACGGCAGCACTCAGCTTTGAAACATTCTGCCCAACATCTGGCCGCAGAGAGACACGCAATTAATCTGTTTTGCCCGGCAGCGGGCAATACGTCACTTGGGGAAACAATGGTCCCCAGACAGCCAAGGAAGTGGTGGCGGCAGCAGAAGGCAGGGGAGGGCACACGTTTTGAGACGGAGAAGTTATAAATCCGCACCATGGTGAGGATGCAGCTGAGCCTGAAATATCTCACCTTAAAAAAAAAGAAAGATAAATATCCCTCCCCATTAAAGAGGAAAGCTTGGCTTCTTCTTGGTTGCCTGCCAGAACCTCGCCAGCTTAGTCTTTCAGTTAACAAACCGGTCAGATGCTTAATGCAAGTGGTTTCACAGGAAATGAGCAAGCAAGCCGCTTCAAGAGAAATGGACTTACCATCCTCCTTTCCTGCCCCTTGGCAGAATTTTCCCCCGTGTCGCCCCTGGCCTGGTGCCAACAGCTCAGTGTCCTGTCTCAAAACCCTGTACACGAGGCGTTCTGTGGCGCTGCCTGCATGTGCCTCTATGCACATGTTTGGCACTGCCTGCTACAGCCCCATGAGTAACTCCACTCAACAACAAAAACAAAAAGAGGAAACAAACAAAGCATCGGAGATACGCTTTCTTGCACTGAAGGGGAGGAAACCGTGACATTTCTAAAGAAGATGCAGAACATTGTTTTTCGAGCAAGATTCACACAAAGGACAGGGCACTGGAAGGACAGATTGAATACCAGCAAGTTTTCTTATCCTTGGCAGAGAAAGCCAATTTTGTCAACCTCGGCATCCTCCTGGAAATTTTGACAACTTCCGTTCCAACACAAGAGTGAAAAGTGCAACACTTTCTTCCATCAAAAGCAACATTATCAAAACAGGTGGTGGCAGAAAATAGTGCAGAAATCATTGTCTTTTGCATTAATCTTGTAGTTTGTGGAAGATGCAAGGTTCTTAATGCAAAATGGCTGAAATCTTGTTACTTAGCACAGTAAGTTGCAACTAGAGTAGGTCCACTGAATCATTGGAATTTCTGGAGAAGTTGACTCACCAAATCCTCCCCGATTGAATAGGACTGCAGTTATGGCTTACTATATAGCAAAGTGACAAGATTCCAGCCAGTACAATGTGGGGGTCAAAACAGAAATCCTTTACACAGAGCCTTACCAGGAATAAGCCGATACGATTCCAGCCACTGGCATTCTAATTGCCATGTCTGTTAGAAAGGTGTATTTATTACATTTCTGTCTTGTCTTTCCTCTAATGAGTTCAAGACAGCATACAGGACTGCCCTCCTTTCCACTTAATAATCAAAACAATCTTATGAGGTATGTCAAGTTGCGAGAGAATGGTGTCTGTGGTTGTTCCATCCAGGCAGAATACTGAAGTGCAGGGGATTGCTCTGAGCGACGTCCAGGGGTATTTTCTGATCTCATGGAAATTCCAGTTAAGTAGGAGTGGATTAAGATTAAGGATGGAATCTGGTAGATCCTGTATCATTTGAACCCACGGAGAATTCCACTCTTCCTCTGAACACAGCCAATCTACTAACAACCAGAATCGGCTATTTCGGATTCTCAGCATTATGATTGCCCTTAAAATGGCCTAGAACAGTGGTTCCTAACATTTGAGTAATCCAGGTGTTCTTGGACTGCAACTCCCAGAAACTTTCACCACTAGCTGTGCTGGCCAGGATTTCTTGGAGTGACAATGCTGTCAAATGTATACCTTGTAGGTATAATTCTACGTGAATTTTGCCACAAAGTACAGTGGTGCCTCGCTTAACGATTGCCTCGCTTAACGAGGAAATCGCTGTACGATTAGGTTTTTGCAATCGCTTTTGCGATGCAAAACGATGGTTTAAATGGGTTTTTCCACTTTGCGATGATCAGTTCCCTGCTTCGGGAACCAATTTCCGCTTTACGACGATCAGCAAATAGCTGATCGTCAGGTTTCAAAATGGCCGCCGGCTGAAGAAAATGCCCCCCTGCTGTTTTTAGGAAGGCTTTTTCACTTAACAGGCACCAGAAAATGGCTGCCGTATGGAAGATCTTCGCTGAATGAGCAGGTATTCAGCCCATTGAAACATACTGAAAGGTTTTCAATGCGTTTCAATGAGTTTTTTAATTTCGTTTGACAACGTTTTTGCTCTACAGCAATTTTGCTGGAACGAATTAACGTCGTCAAGCGAGGCACCACTATATGACTCTGGTGCTAAAACATCCCATCAGTCTGGAGGAGAGGGTTAACAGACCGTTACATTTAGCAGCTAATCATGCAATTTGTTTCCATGAAATGGAAAAACCCCACCTGCTGATTTAAATTTATTTTAATTTCTAGATTTATTTAGCAGACCAAAGCTCTGTTGTGCCTATAGGAGCGGTCTAAGATTGTGAGCAGAGATGGGGGCTGAGTATTCGTATACAAATATGCGACTGGCGTCATTTTCTGCCCCTCAATCATGATAGTAGTTTAGCTGCTGCCGTCCCATCTCCCCGTTTGCCTAGCCACTCTGTGGCTGAGTGGGGAGACCTGTTTTCCCACCCCCTTGCTGGAGCAGCTGCGCAAGCAGGGAAGTGGGGCTGCGGCAGCCAAGCTACTGCCGTGGTCGGAGCACAGAAGAGGACACCAGACGCATGCACCATGTATGAGGTAGCCTGGTGGGTTCTTGGGAGGGTGGGTGTTTATCAAGCCGGTCAACGGGAAAGCAAGCTATGAATATGAAGCCCCCATCTCTCATTGTGAATAATTGGAAGGAGGGAACAATTCAAACTAAACAGTACAAGATACCTACCTTCCCTTCTTTTAAGATGTTCCTAAGCAGAGGTAGATGCTCAGCTGTAAGGTCTCTCAGTGACTTGATTCCCCGGCAATGGCAGATGGCAATCAAATACAAATCATCCAGCTGCAAAGACAGAAGAGATGGCTGATGTTTGAGAAGCAGAGAAAGGATTCTCACCTTTTCCTATCGCATAGATCTAGTTCTACTGATATCCTTCCAAAAGGAGTAAACACCAAAACAGTTTTATGACAGGATCTGCTATTTTGTGCTGAGATCAGTTAAAGGACCTTGGGGTTTTCCCTTGGAAGTGTGTGTGTGTGTGTTGTGCTGTTGTTTTCTTAAAGGATGAACAGGTATCTTTTAGTAAGGCTTCAGCTGCTGATTTTGGTTTTCTAAGGCAGCAAGCATGTTAATGTTGATCCCTTTACCTGGTTAAAATCACTCCCAGGAAAATGAACAAATTACTTGTTTACCGAGATACTAAGAAAGAAATGCCTCTTATAATTGTTGGAGAGGAAAAGCAGAGTTTGAACCTGTATCCTCTATGACATTGCAAAGATTCTGGGACAGGTTCCAAACACTGCAGTTCCCTACATTTAACTTCCCAAAAATGAACAAAACATTTGGCAAAATCAACCTTGTGAGGAATGCGGCTTGGGAAACTATTTTGGTTAGATGTCTAGCCTTAATTCATTTGTGTGATTCTCTGGCTTGATGGGTCCTCCCCCCCCCCCGCATGCACTTCCCCCCCACAGCTGCTTTGAGCACACACATGCATGCCGAAGGGGTGGAGGAGCGCTCACGCCTGCACTGGCACAAGCACGTGTGCTCCCCCATTGCTTTGCGCATGTGCCCAAGAGCACATGCGCATGCACCCATGAGTGCGAGTGGGGGGGCGCCTTCCTCAGAGGCCAAAAGTGTTGGAGCCAGGTGGATCTCTATAGGGAGGGTGTTCCAAAGTTGGGGGGGCAACAGCTGAGAAGGCCCTATTTCGGCATGCCATCCCCCCCTCACCTTTTTCAGGGATGGCACCTTCAGAAGGGCCTCCTGGCCTGATCTTAGGTGCTCTTGAACAAAAGTTTCCAGTCTTGTTTAACATGAAGCCAATAAAATAACAAAACTCCACCAAAGATACTGTAAGTCATATTTTTTTAAAAGTACTTGTTCTCTAGTCTGAGCCTTTGCTCAGACTAGGGATCCAGATTCAGACCCACTAAAATCATTGGGGCTTTAGTTATCGCCAATTTAAATCATTACTCATTTAAGCCTTATTGGTCAGAATCCTGTTACGAGTTAACATAAAGCTGGCATAACTTGTTCTGGCTAAATGTGGCTACCTGGTGGGGTGCCAGGTTGTACAACTGGACATGTGACTAGGCATGTAATCAAGATCTGTCCATACCTACCATTCGTGAGAACGTCACACAAACCTTACATGAACACCAACAGAATTCTGGCTCCTGAATTCAAGGAGCCTGGTTTCTGTACGTCTGAATCTCTATCCAACCCAAGAGACAGATTTAAAAAAATCTGGCTTTAATCCCTCCCTCCCTCCTTCTGCATATATATATATGAGATAAAAATGAGAAATGGGGTTTCTGTAGTATCGGTAGCCCAAACAGAAGATAAGTGGAATTTCCAGTACTTTCCCTAGCACTTGAATTCCCAGAAGAGGTTGTGACTAAAAATAACCTCCACACCATTTCAAGTTTGAAACGTCAAGAGTCCAAGAGAGACTTGTAGCTCTAACTACTCACTAGTTTTCATGGGGATCAAGGTTAAGAATCAGTCTCGCTGAGAGAGCAGTGAACTAGCAACTCAGTTTAAGGAGTGGGAGATATTTGCACAGAACCCAGACCCGACAGCTGCAATAAAATAAACAGGACCTGGACTGACTGCACAAAAGGGGGCCTATTTGCAGCAGCGACAGATGGTGCTCATCACCAGATGTTCTTCACTGTAACCCACCCTGATGGGTCCCCAGTGCAAAGCAATGTGTACATCGCTCTTTTATATGAAATGTAAGAAAAGTTTAGAAATGCAGCCCTGGCCACAACATTTAGCTTCTTGTAAACATCAGTTTCCATTACTTCTTAAAAGAGCTCTTCTTGAGCACTTACTACAAATATTGCCTAAGTAGCTTGGCACTAGAAGAGTGATTGCCTTCAAGGAATCGTCGGCTTGTGCACCGTCCCCTTTCTCTTTCTTTTTATTTTTCCTGGTTTGAGTCAAACCACAGTTTACTGTTTTGCCTGCACCCCCATTTTAAGCAAACCACAGTTTAACACTTCACCCAAACTGGCAAGTTATGGGTTTACCTATTCTCTAAAAAACAGGGTTGAAAACCTGGACCAGCCCTGGAAGCTGTCTTGTTCTACTAGCACCAAACACATGTTTTAATATGTCTGAACTAGCCAGTGTAAAACCTGAAGCCTCGGAATGCAGAGGAGTAACTAGGTAGGATTTTCAGCACTTAAAACTGTCTCTTTATTTATTCAAAGTAGTTTTAACCTGTTACTTGCCAAAAAAGAAACTGATGTGACTTATATGCTCATTAGTTCCAGCCTGCAAGTTAACAATAAAAAGCAACACAACAGAAAGGAAAAAGAGGTAAGGAACCAGAAAAGGATTCTTAAGAACATAGATAAAAACATAAGAAGTGCCCTGCTGGATCAGGCCAAGGGCCCATCCAGTCGAGCTCCCTGTATCTCCCAGTGGCCCCACCAGATGCCTCTGGGAGCCCATGAAACAATACCTGTCTCCCGATACTACTCCCCTGCATTTGGCATTTTGAAGTACGTACCATCCTTTTAAGCCTGGACATTATACATCCCCATCATGGCTTGTCACCTGATGGACTTTTCCTCCAGAAATCTGTCCAATCCCCTTTTAAAGGCATCTAGGCCAGATGCCATCACATCTTGTGGCAAGGTGTTCCACAGACTAACAACACGCTGAGTAAATAAATATTTTCTTCAATGGACCTGTTGGAACGGAGGTCTCCTCTCTCTTGATGCCCAATGGAAAGGCTGATGGAAGGGGCCATTGAGGGAGGAGCCTTCAGAGAGAGGTGGTCTTTCATCAAGGCTGAGGGAATGACCCCACTTCCCATCTCTTCCTGCTGCAACCTGATGGACTGGCTCCACCTTTCTGAGTTGCGCTGGAGAAAAGTTACTTATTTCCCTCAGCAGTGTTCTTCTTCTGGGTGCTGCAGTTCTACAAATGGAAATTTCTCAAACTTTATGAAGGACCCCCTGCAGACCCTGACAGCAAACCTGACCGTTTTTGCCTTTCAGACAACCTGCTCACATCTGCTCTTTTTAATAACAGAACTATAATCTGGATCATGTAGATTAATCTGTCAGGATGGACAGGTGGGTCTCGCATGCAGAGGGTTGAACTTCCCCTCCTTGGCTGGGGGAGATGTCATATAATTCCATCCGGCAACATCTGTTACTTTATTTAGCAAACAATTCCCTCACAAGCTGCTTGCCCGGATTGCCTGACAGTTTGAATAACATCAGCTCCACCTATCCTCTTCGCTTATAGAGGTCACTGGCCCTCTAAAGGATAACCCATTGTTGACACAGATAAAGCAGTATTCCAACTGCTCCGCAGCAGCCTGCGTTAATTAAAGGCCTGTAATAATTAAAGCCTGCTGTTCATTTCCCCGCAACCAAATTGACCCCCTTGGAAAATCAAAAAACTCCCCGGAGTGATGCTTTGACACCCAATTGAATCAGGATTGCTTCCCTATGGGGAGCTGTACATCGCCCTTTAAAATGTGATTTGAAGGCCTACAGCTTGACTGGGAGCAACAGAGATGCAGTGTGGCAGTAAGAGGATGAGAATTCACATAACGCATTAGAATAGATCTAAAGGGCATAGATCTAAATGACAACCCACAGACACACACACACACCAGACAGTAACAGCAGTGAGGAGTGTTAATGAGAGCCA